GAAGCCCTGAGCCCTGTTTCTGGGGCAGCTTCTGAGCCGCTTTGGTGCCCAAGGGGCAGCAGTGGCGAATCGTCATGCCCCATATATTTGATTTCATTGTGTCTCAATGCAGTTGATTTTTTTAAAAAAGTGTGATTTTATTAAATACAACTGGCTTTCTATATTTTTTTTAAAAAAAGAGCAAAACTATCAGTGCAAAACTGTGTAGGTGGCGTGAACTCATTTTTATGTACTTCATTGTAATCCATTTGTATTCTTATATTTTAGGCACCATTATCTGTATTTGAAGCTAGAACTGACTATTCTGCCTTGTGTGACCCATCAAGCTCTCTTCAGAACTGCTCAGTAAGAAGTCCTAGCCACTTGGTGCCATTCTAAGTGCAGAGATGAGTCCCATCAACTCACTGTAAGCTTGTGTTTTTGTGTGTGTTTGTTTCCAGGCCCATAACCTCCCTGTGCAAAAAAAAGTTCTGTTCCATTTGCAAGAAAAAAGTCAAGTGGCCAAGCTATTCAGGTTAAAAAAATGAATTAAATGGTCTCAGGTAGAGTGACCAGATGTTCTGTCCTGGTGGCAGGGCAAAGCTGCAGCATGCAGGGCTAGCTTCTTCCCCCCCTGCTAATCTGTTAGTGCAGCCTGTCCTGCATGCCTAATCTCAGTCACCATGGCCCTATCCCCGAACCATTTTCAGTGGTTGGTGAATGCAGTCAGACGCCAGCTGGTAGCCAGTTACGTTTCGCCTCCGCTGTACTATTGGCCCTTTACATGCTACCCTTCTTGCCTCTCCCTGCTTTGCCCTCCCCACCTCTCCAGCCCTGCTGCTCTTCCGTACCACTACCACCTCCTCCTCCCCCGGTCTCTGTGGGGCATGTCTCGTTCCCATTGCTGTGCAGAGTACCACTCATCTTACCAACAGCCTGTCTGACAAGCTCCTTCCTTTCCCCATTGCTTCTGGATGGGCTGGCACCCAAGGAAATCTGAAGACCCTGTGGTCCAGAACACTGACTGGGAGTAAACAAGCCCTGCATGTGCCAAAATCCCGTACAGCACTGGCACATGGAAGCCTCTCACGCCCCTTCTTCCCCCCTCATGTAAGAGATGTCTATGGGAGACTGTGTGTGAGATATCTCTCCCCATGCAAATCCTAAAGCTTTAAAGATAAAGTAAATAAGACTTAAATTACTACTCCTTTTTAACAGGGTCTCAGTCAACTTGATATTTGAACTCTTATATTACATAGTTCTGATCTCTTTCCATTGAACTCGTTTGAATATGAGTACTGATTGTATCTCTTTTAACTGGGACTCCCTGGTCCGGCATGGACCACGGATATTCCTGGACCACACTGTCCAGGAAGAGGGAGGTCTGGCGGTGGGGCAGGAGCACCGTAAGGAGCAATGGCAACTCAGACAGGAGCTGTGTGTATGTGGGAGGGGAGAAGGGAGGATGGCCATCATGGCAGAGAGTTCTTGCTCCAGCGGAGCTCCCTGGCCCTGGTTGCTGGGGAGCTCTACCCTGGCTGCAGCTGTGGACCTCCTCGCCCCTGCCAGGGAGCTCTGGTCCTGTCCCTGGCTGCAAAGCTCTAGCTGCATTCTGGCTCCAGCAGCTAGGGAGCTCTCGCCCCAGCTGTGGAGCTCTGGCCTTGGCGCTCTGGCCCAGCAGTAGGGGGGCTGGAGAGAGTCGTAGGGGACTGAGGCAGCAGTGAGGGCAGGCTGGAGCCGTAACCCGGTGGCAGTGCAGCCACAATGGGAGGAACCTTCTCTGTTCCGGCAAAACCCCTCTTTTGGGACCAGTCAGGTCCTGTGGGTGCCAGACCAGCGAGGTCCAACCTATAATTTTACTGAGTAGCCTCTATTTAGCATAGGGAAGTATGGTCACCCTAGTTTCAGGTGTTTGCTCAGGCCATTTCTCTAAACCAATATTCGTGATTTTATGAAGACTTTTTTTCCCCTTTAGGGTTAGATCCTTAAAAGGGATCCACAGGGTGCAGCCCCACATCTGCAAGGATCCATTTGCAGAATATAGCCCATAACATCTTTTACTTACGGTAAATCTAGGTGTTGTTTGAAACAAATGTAGATTAAACATGAGACATTTGGTTTTTAAGTTCATGGTATCCTGTTAATGCTACAAAATATAAATCTTTGTTGTAGACTGCTGTGTCTTTGGTAAATTTTGGTACAATGGTTTATTGTACTAAAGACTGGAAATAGCTGAATTCAGAATACAGGTTTTTTATTTTTTTAATTAAATTTAGGAATGAAGAAGATACCTTCAAAATCTTGGTTGCTACTGACATTCACCTTGGGTACTTGGAGAAGGATCCTGTGCGTGGAAATGATACATTTGTAACTTTTGATGAAATTTTGAGACATGCTCAACAAAAAGAAGTAAGCAGTCTTACACATTTTGGTAAATAAGGCACTGAGACTGTACTTTGGATGCTTTCCAGAAAATATGAGGAAGGTTGGCTTCAGTCCTGTGTCTAGATCTTGTGGAGCCCCTTAAAGATTGCAAGATTGGGCCCTTGTTCTGAAGTCACCTCCCCCGCCCCGGCGTCTGGACTCCCTGCTGTGCCTGGGCATCCTGTCGGGGCGGCTGCCTGTGAGCAGCTGGCGCACCGCTGGTATGCCGTCTCCGGCGCTGCTCAGCTCCCGGGCTGCGGCACGCCTGGCGCTGCGGCTCCACCCACTGCCCCGAGAGCCGCCAGGAAAGCTCCAGAGTGTGGGGTGCCTCTGCCCTGTCACAGATATACTTACTCATTTACTCTAATAAATTAGTTTTAAAGAAATTGGGGTAGAACACTTGTAAAATATTGTTGGGATCTTCTTTATCATTGATTTTTTTAAGAACATCTGTGATATTGCTTTGCAAAGAATTGTATGTTTTTGTTGTCATGGTTTTGTCTTTTTGCAAATTGTGCTTTTTAATTTTTCTGAATAACTGCTAGATTGTAAAATAAGATTAAATTAATTTAACTACAAATATTTTCGGTTTTACTTGTTTTAAAGTCTATAATTATGGTATTAACTTTAAAGACCTGGTAAGAAATTTAATATACTGAAAACTAAAATTAATGTTTTACAATAGCATGTAGAGAATTGCTTTTAAGATAAAACACAATGCCATTTGACTGTAACAAATCTCTTGATCTGTGCAGGTAGATTTTATTTTATTAGGTGGGGATCTTTTTCATGAAAATAAACCTTCCAGAAAAACACTACACACCTGCATTGAATTATTAAGAAAATACTGCATGGGTGATCGTCCTGTACAATTTGAAATTTTGAGTGACCAGTCAGTCAATTTTGGTTTTAGCAAGTAAGTATATTTACAGTGATGAAGTGCCTATGTTGTACATTTGCTCATTAGACACTAGAAACAGTAAGCTGCCAGTGGAGTAGAGGTAAGAGTCTGGTCCTGTAAACTGCTTATTGGCAGACCTCTATAAGTCAGTGGATTTCTGTGCACTTTCAGTAGTCCACAGAGCAGCTTGCAGCGTCAGCTCTTGAGTCTATTTTCTGACCATTTCAGACTTGTTAAAAATTCTTAAGAACTTTACCATCTTTGGATGACTTGTCTAATTTATTATTATTATTGCATATAATATGTAGGCCCAGTATTTGAAACTTAATGTAAGAATGCTCATTTGAACAGACACCAAATACAATAGCACTGCTTGTTAGAGAGAGGAGTGATTTTGATCAAAGTATTTGTAGGATTGGGCCTCCATAATCCTAGCTAGGCTTTTGAGTTTTTAGAACTAAAGGATTCTAACATCATAAATTAAACACATTGCTCAGTGTTTTGAGGACAGAAATCAAATGTGAATATGTTGAAAAGGTGTTTTGTTGGTTTTGTTTTGTTTTTAATAATGCAGAATATATCAAACAAGTTTTCAACTAAGGATCTCAATTATTGCTTAAAATGTTAACCAGTTAAATGTTAACCAATCAGCATCACCCGGGGTAACCAGTTACCCTACTTTCAACCTTAAGTACAACAAGTGTGTACCAAGTGTACGCTGTGATGCAGTACATTCCACACTTCAATATTTATCCAAATTTATGTAGTGTCTTGCTTCCTCTAAAGCCTTGCCCACTGCCTAACTATCTTAGCTACATGTATGAACTCCAACTTCAGAATCTGAGCACCTTTACTCTTATAAATATACCAAGCAATCATGTCTGCCAGTCAAGACCTGCTCCCCACCGTGGAGCCAGTCCCTCCCTGCTTTTGCGAGCAAAAGCAGTGTTGATATCCCCATTTCACATGTAGGAAATTGTAGTACAGAAGTTCTGGCTCATAGACTCATAGACTTTAAGGTCAGAAGGGACCATTATGATCATCTAGTCTGACCCCCTGCACAGTGCAGGCCACAGAATCTAACCCACCCCTCTTAGAATAATCCTCTCACCTATATCTCAGATATTGAAGCCTTCAAATACTTTGAAGGCCCCAACATGCAGAGAGTCCTCCAGCTGTGATCTGTGCCCAATGCTACAGAGGAAGGCAAAAAACCTCCAGGGCCTCTGCCAATCTACCCTGGAGGAAAATTCCTTCCCGACCCCAAATATGGCGATCAGCTAAACCCTGAGCATGTGGGCAAGACTCACCAAAGGTATTTAGGCACCATGATTTCAATGGCAGTTAAGGTCCTAAATACCTTTTGAGGTTCTGGGCCTAAGTGACTTGCCAAGGTCACCCAGGAAGTTTTATGATGCAGTAGGAACTTGACCTCATGTCTCTCAAATCTAAACTGTTGCCTTTCAACCACTGTCCTTCCTCTCTTAGTCCCTTTTTAATATAGGTGAAGTGAAATCTCATTTAGTAATCACCTGCTTGAGAATCTTGCTGAATGTGTCTTTATTAATGTTCATAAAATGTCTTCATATGTAATAAAGTTTATGTATCAGTTACAATTATTTTGATAAGAAAAAACTGTATGACATATTCTGTGTATGCAAACAGCTTGTAAAGAAACGTAAAACTTTTTTTCTATTCAGATTTCCATGGGTGAACTATCAGGATGGGAATCTCAACGTTTGTATTCCAGTTTTTAGTATTCATGGCAATCATGATGATCCCACGGGGGTAATTATTTTAGTGATGGCAAGAATTATAACATTGCACAGATACAAGTATTTTTTTTTCCCTTTGAGAACAGGTTACTAGTATGAATCATTCCATTTCACTTTTAAGTTTCCTTTTTAATTTACTGGGTGGATTTTCCAGAGTCCATTGTTTTTTCACGTCAGACTCAAACCAAGGATGTTAAGGACTAGTTGACTATCCAATAAGAATTTGCTTATTGGATAGTCTATCGACTAGTCGATTTCACCCCCTTGCTGCCTCTATGAGATTCTGGGGAAATGCTGCACGGTGCCTAGAATCAGTTGCGGAGTCCCCAGCTGACCACAGGCTCGATGGCTGCCCCTTTGAAATACGGAGGCAGCATTTCAAAGGGGCAGTGCCACACAGCTGAGCTGGGGATTAGCTGGGCAGCAGCTGCCCCTTTGAAATGTTGCCTCCACGTTTCAGAGGGGCAGCCCTGGAGCCCGGGGTTCCAGCTGACCCCAGGCTTTGTGCAGCATTTTCCCAGAACCCGGGGTCAACTGGGGAGTCCCTAGCTGGTCCTGGGTTCCGCTGAAATGCCGCATGGAACTGGGGTCAGCTGGGGAGTCCCCAGCTTTAACCTGGGCTCCACGCAGCATGTTGCACAGTATAGAGCCTGGGGTCAGCCGGGGACTCTTTAGTCCCCCACTGACCCCGGGCTCCATGGCTTTGAAATGCGCAAGAGCCCCTGCTAGAGACTCTTCTATATTTCAAAGGAGGAATGCAGAACTCTGCGTATAGCCCAGGGCCAGCGGGAAGTCCCGCTGACTCCAAACTGCATGTGGTTGCCTGCTTTGAAATGTACAACAACCCCAGAGGGGTTGTTGTACATTTCAAAGGAGGAATGTGTAAGTGCCTATCAATTAGTCGAGTAGTTGATGGAAATTCCACCGACTATTTGACTAGTCAATTAACTGTATTTTAACATTTTTAACTCAAAAAATCATGTTTTAGGCTTTAAGTCCAATTATTAACATGGGTGGGAAGACAGGATATGGGACCACATAGTCTGCCTATCTAATACCTTATTTTAGGGATATCTAGACCTACAGATGACATAAGGCATCTGTTCATAAATGTTTTCATTATGCATTTAACACAGAGAATTTGTAATATAGGATTTTTACTATTCTTCACAATCTACCTCTAAAACAAGCTATTTAATAAAAACTATAACTTGATAGTTCATACTGAACAATCAATTTAGCCAAGCCATCCTTAAGGCTTCCTTTCTATTATACTTTGGTGAACAAAGTAATAGTTAATTAAGACACAATCTTAAAAGTTGAATTTAAATACAAATTAATTATCTTTCTGTTCTTTAATATTTTCAATAGGTAGATGCACTGTGTGCATTAGATATTTTAAGCAGTGCAGGATTGCTGAATCATTTTGGACGCTCATCATCTGTAGAGAAGATAGACATTAGTCCCATTTTGCTCCACAAGGGAAGCACAAAAATTGCTCTATATGGATTAGGTAAGCTTCTTTTCTATTCATCTAGATATTTCCAAAGCATGTCTAGATCTTTGTATCAAAGGGCTATATTTCCTTTTTTATTGAGCTCTATATTCTTACTTCATATAGCTATAAAGAGCAAGATAAATAATCTTAGAATCAATATTTCTGCGGGAGTGTGTTAGACACAGCTTGTGAGGGGTTTGGGGTGCGATCACCCCCTCTCCGCACAAGAGGGGGGCTCGGCGGACCCCTACACCCTCTTTTTGTCTATCTTGTGCCCCGGACCTCCGCCCGGGAGCCCAGGCGATCGGGTGCGATCACCCCCTCCCCGGGTAGGAAGGGGGAGTCAGCAGGCCCAGAGGTTGTCACCTGTCCCTGCGGGGTGGGGCCTGCGCCCCCCCAGTCCTGGTGCGCTCCCGCTCAGGGTCCTGGTTTTATGATGGGTCCAAGTTAAAGTCGCCCGGAGCTGTATGCTCCTTCAGCGGAGGGAGGGGGACCCGGTCCTGCCCTCTCTCCGGGACCCAGCCCGGGGCCCTAAGCGTTGGGGCTTGCTTGCGCCCCGACGCAGTAGACAGGGGTCACTCCGGGCCTGCGCCCCCCCAGTCCTGGTGCGCTCCCGCTCAGGGTCCTGGTTTTATGATGGGTCCAAGTTAAAGTCGCCCGGAGCTGTATGCTCCTTCAGCGGAGGGAGGGGGACCCGGTCCTGCCCTCTCTCCGGGACCCAGCCCGGGGCCCTAAGCGTTGGGGCTTGCTTGCGCCCCGACGCAGTAGACAGGGGTCACTCCGGCATAACCCGTCCACCCACGGCCGCCACCAGCGTTCTGCCCCGGGCTCCTTCCTCCCTTCCCGGGTTTCCCCAGATTGTGGCTCCGCTTTTCCCCACCCACCC